GTCAAAGACCTTCCAGCCTAGTGGTAAAGGCTTAGGCATGGCATAGTCATGAACCCGAGTTCGAACCTTGGGAGGGGAGTGTTGGCGACATTTAAGTGGGGCCATGTTTAGCCCCCAAATTTGTCGGGATTAGTCGGGCTTTGGCCCGGACACCCTTACAAAAAAAAAGTTGTATTTATGGACTATATACTTACAATCTTGAGTTTTAAGTAACGTGCATTAATAAACAGTATTTTACACATAAAAAATGATTTTAAGAGTTTTTGTCAAATGCTCTATAATATAGTATAGACTAGAATGGTACCCCTGCAATGCAACGATGTACATTTTTTAAAGCTCAATTTTTTAATTCGTATAACTAATTGCAGATAAACATAATCAAATACAGGATAAACATCTCATTTTAAATATATAAAATCTAAAATATAATTAGGATAATCATTTAGTTATAACAGAATCATTATCTTTATAAAAATTATATTCTTAAGCCAAAAATAAATTACTTCGCTATTAGACCTAAACTATATTATAATAAAAGTTTGAATTAAATAAATTGTATAAAAAACAAGAACTTTTGAATAGTAATTTGATATTAATATCGATATATTTTTTTTAATATTTATGATATCTTCAAATTTATTTTTATTCAAAAGTAAAAACATTATTTTTCTCAAATCCACATAAACTCTATTATATTAATAGAAATAAAAAAAAACAAAACATTAAAATGAAGATGTATCATTACGCGAGTACCCTTCTAGTTTTAATAATATAGCTGATGTTGAGTTCTATAAATTAAACTTATTGTTAAAGTATATTTTTCATAAAGATAGTCATAATATATATTTTTTTAATAATTATCATGTATTTAAATATGTTTATCTACAAATTCTAATTAATACTAAAAGGGTATTCGTGCAATGCAGCGAGATAAATATTGATTTTAATATTTTATTTTATTTTTTTATCTCAGTCGATGTTATAATATGGTATTATGTGATGTTGGAAAAACGATAATGTTTTTATTTTTTAATAAAATATAAATTTGAAGATATCATAAAAAATTTGAGGAAAAATTTATCGATATTAGTATCAAATTAACTATTTAA